ATCAACAACACACCTGACTCCATTATCAGTTTCTTCTTCTATCTGGAACAACCCAAAAGAGATCCTGCATTTCCAGCAAACTCCTCAGATCATGAGGGGTAATATATTTCAAACCATTGCACAGGATCTGCCTTAATGACAAAGGTGAGAGAGAGATTCATTAAAGAGCTGACCCTAGTGTGAAAATCCAGCCCACAAGCAAACATTTCCCTAGTAGTTTATCTCTGGTTGATATGCTGTTTTCCATTAAATGGAGGTGGATCTTTTATTGCTTGCAACTGTACTGCCTGAATTTAAGGCATATTTTCAGTGCTCAATTACACCTTAATGCTTAGTTGGATTGCTCATTTTGACAGCCAGAGGAAACCAGCATTGTTCTATGAGCACAATAGGAGCACAGTGAGGAACATACTGAAAGCTGAAAAACATTAATACAGGGCTCCACAATTAAAATCCTATAGACTTCTGTTGCACTGTGCTCTCCATATATTCACAGGTCCATGGGGGGGCACTGTTCCAAAGCTCAATGCCTGGGAGATATGTCTAAATGGCACTTCTGGTGTTCAAACAACCCCACCCCCTACCCTCCTAGCATCTAATGCTGACTGTTCCAGAAGGTATATCCTCTTGGACAGTTTTCTGTTGATGAGTGAATCAAAAGTGAAGACTGTGGTGCAGTCTGGTGGCACTGAATCACTTATGTCCTGTTTTCAAGGTCCATAGCGTTTAAGAGCAGCTGAGTTCACCAACTGGGATAAGCATCATCATAAGTGGTTTAGGAACTAAATCCCATTATCAAAAGTGCCTCAGTTAATCTGGAGCTTAAGTCATGAAAATGGAGTTTAGGCTTTACAAAGTTGAATTAAGTTACGCCTAAATACAGTTAACAATCTCTGCCTAGCTGATTTAGGAACCAAAATCTTGTTTCAAAAGTGATGTAACCCTTAAGAGCCTTCCAGTGAAACTACGGCCCTAAGTGCCTAAATCACTTTGAAAATAAGACTTCAGCTCCTAAGTGACTTGTGTACTTTTCAAAAATGTAGCTCAGACCTTACCAGGGACTTAACAGTAAACTTCAGCCCACTGGCCCTGGTGCAAAATATGGCTGATAGGACCACTGGGCATCTGGGTTTGTGGGCCTCAGAAGAGGGCAAAAATGTCTTTCATCAAATGGGGGAAGGTGTTACCAGGGAATGGGGAAAGAAGGTACTTTACGTACAAACCACTGTCTACTTTTATCCATGTCTACCTGCAGGTACTTAGACACATGATAGGGGTGTTCAGTATCTGGAAGTTTGGACACAGCCAGTATGGCAGTCCATGGATTTGCAATATACGTTTGTGTATCTCCCTCAGCCAATTACCAAACCACTCAGATTGTTCTTGATATATCTGTGTCTCCATGGGGACAGGGCTGGGTTAGTGAGTTAGGTGACAAGAACCATGAATGAGAGTGCAGTGTGCTAAGGCATAGCAAGGGTAGCACAGAGTGACAGGGCTAGTAATCATGGGAGTGCATCCAAAGCCTGGACTCGCACGAGTGCTGATGAACTGGTGGGGGCAAAATGGGGAATACTTTTACATTCAAATATGCTGATCAGCAGTGATTAGGAAAACAATGATACCTTATACATAAAACATTTCCTTCCCCTAATGGAACCCCACAGTAAATTATCCCTGCCTGTTCATTCCACCTTTCCTATTTTGCAATGTCAACTGATCTTGATAGCTCTTGATTACAAGGTATCAGTATGGTGTTTTGGAAGGCTACTACTGACATTGTGACCAAGGTCAGAATGGAAGCTGTACAATGAATCATCTACTCTCCATTGTCTTTTTCCAGACTTGTTAGTTATATATCATATAGAAGTCAGCTCTGTCTTAGAAACTGTTCCTTGTCTGATGGAGCAATTTTGTTATCCCTTAATAAAGAAACCTCCTCTTGACCCTGGCAAATCTGTTTCAGATTTATCATCTCTAGCTCTGATCTTGGAACAAGTGGTCTGAAACCAATACTTAAGCACTGACATAAGAGGCTTTTAAGAACACTTGGAATCCAGCACTTGGCATAAACTATGCACTAATGAGAAGTCACTTAAATAAGGGCCTGCAGCATTTGGGCTTAAAGTACTAATAATTATGCATTATTTTTAGTGTGGGCAATCCCTTTTGATCTACTACATGTTCTGTGCAGTTCCAATTCTAAACAAAATCTTCTCTCTCATACCTTAAACCGGTGGCATAATTTGGTGCAGGTGAAAAAGGTGCCAGGGACAGGCAGACTGCTCTACACCAGCAGCTGTCTGAGCCTTTCAGTACTCAGGTACAAGTGACACCCTTCCCCTTCCACTTCCCCACCCCCATATGTTTTGCCCAGATCTCAGCTCTCTCTCTTGGGCAGGGTTTTGCCAAGAGTGTGAAATCAGCTAGTTATGCCTCTGCCTTAAGTTGTTGTGTAACATCACTGAGTTATTGCTTCATTCTACCCCAGAAGCAGCTGCATTTCAGCAGCAGATAAAGAAAGTTTGGAGCTATGAACTAACATAACTTTTACTTGATTTAAAAAAAAGGAGTGAGCTAAATCACTGTAACTAACTGCGAGTGAAATGGTTAAAGATGCAATGGCTCTGCCACACTTGCATCACTACAGGAGCTGGCTGACATGACAAAGTACATTATAACAGCTTATACTCATATCCTTTGAGGTTGATGCAACTGTTATATCTATCTACCGATACCCTATAATGCAATTTGGGTTCCTTTCAATGGAAAAGTACCTTATATTAATGTAAAGTATTATCACTTCCATTTAGTAAGAAAAACAAATCACTAAAAGGTAGTTTGACATCATTAAAATGAAAGAGAAGGCAAATAAAAGAGCTGCAGCCACTTATTCAGCAAAGATAACTATACTAACATTTTGCATTTGTACAGCCCATGTTCATCTTGAAACACTTTACAAATGATGGCCCTTGTGTATCAATGAGACACGACAAAGGATGGCTTTGCAGTTAAGATAAGACTGCCATTTAAGTGACAAGAGTTCAAGTCCCCAGCCCATCCCTCTGTACAAATCTGTTTCTCTCTTCCTGGTTCATAAAATGGGAACCTTAATTCTTTCTGCATTTATACACAGTGGGAGCTCTTCACAAGTAGGACCTTTACTCCTTAAGTATGCATGTGTGGGTGTGTGGGTGGGTGGCACAATGGGGCTCTCATCTTAGCTGGCTCAGTTGGCCCTTAGGTCTTACAGAAATACAGATAAAATAAATGCAGTCATATCTAGATGCAAAGACATCAACCAACCACCACAACAGCCTGAGGTAGGAACATTTCTAACTGAGGACATCAGGGTGAAACTGCAATAAAATCTCAGAAGAGGGCTCATGTGGTGAGCTGGGTGGCTTTCAATTTATTCTCAGGAAAATGAAGGTTCAAGGTGACTTGGTCAGAGAGAAATACAATTTGGATGGGATGGACCCTCTGAGCCCTCTGTTTCCTCCACATATTTCATGCCTTAAAATGTGGTGGACTGCACTCCTCATTCCAGCAGCATTGGAGCCCCACACCTAAAAGTGCCCAGTCCTCCTTTACCCAAGGGCTGAAGGAAGGGGTGGAGGGGGCACCTTGTGCTGGAACTGGTGTGTCACAGGTACTGGTCTCCTATAGATGCATGCTGCCACTAACTTTCCCAAATGCCATCTGGATCCATCCCCCACCTACCCCAGGAATGTATCAGGCCCACATCCTCTTGCGACCAAGGAGAACAACAAGGTCAGATTTAAGCCCCTGGGCCAGTCTCTTCAGCTCATGTGGATGATTTATGATCTGTTTACATGAGAAGCAGGATTGATGGATGATGACAGTAGTGCCTGGTCTCTTCATATCACCCAATGTGGATAGTCCCTTTGCCAGGGGAGGGGGAAAGGGTGTTTTGCCAGGGGAGGGGGAAAGGGTGTTGCCCTCATATATAGTTCTTGATAAGAGAGACCCACATTAGCCAAAGAGAGGGCAGCAACCCTTCCCACTCCCCTGCCGAGGGGACCACCCACATTGGGTGATATAAAGGGACCAGACACTACCTCCAGCCTCCATCTATCTTACTTCCCATGTACAAGAGAGATCTAGGTACTGGCTGAGCATCACATATGCGACCCCAAGGACATAACTAACAAGCCCCACAGAAGAGGGACATTCCTATCCCAGAGTAAAAGACTGCTTTTGTCAAGGGAGGGAAGGGAGGAGGAATGGTGTCTCTCCAGCTTCCATTACTAATAAAACCCACTTTTGCCATGGTTATGTTCCTGGGCGTAAGAGACAGCCAAAAGGAACTGAAAAGATAGGTCCTGTGGGACACAAGTGATGGACTTTTGGGGTGATCAGCAGCATTGGGGGGGTGGGGGGGCGACTGTTGATGTGCACCTGCGTGCACCCCCTACACATTGCCAATGCCCCCAAGGAACTAATTTGTTCTTTTTGTGTCAGAGACACTCCCCAGAAGGCAGCACATGCAGGATGCTAGGCTGGGCACATCCATTCATCTGAAACCCTTCCTCAGACAAGGAACATATTCAGCCCAGGGAAGTTTTGTTAGTGTGAAGGAATCCTGACAGCAACTGATATACTTAAAATGATATCTCCAAGGCAGAAGGACAGATCAAAAGAACAAAAAAGAAACTGCTTGCTGTCCATACATTAAAGCAGAGACAAACTAGAATGGGCATCATATACTCTATGCCCACCAGCAAATGCTGTGTCCATTGCACACAGGATGAATAGTGCAGCCTTGATAGAGTTCCTTTTCCCTTGGAAATGAATTAAATGCTGGCACTGGAGCAACAGAAGCGTCCCCATGCACCTGGTGGTCAGACTTCTGCTCCTTAAAGCATGAAAAAAGGTTCACATATGCAAAACAGAAGATGGGAGGGAAAATTTAAAATGGGGAGAAGAGGGGGGAGAGAGAGAGAGAGAGAGAGAGAGATCATTGCTTACTAACATACCTCACTATGGGGTTTCCATTATACAGGATATAAATGCCGGCTTCTTTATTCCCATAGATCTGATTGCTACGGATGATGCCTTTTCCGTTGCCAAGGACAACGATGCCTGAGCGAAGGCCACTGTGTATCTTATTACACTGCAGTTTTATGTATGCACATGTGGAGAATAAAGGTAAAACAGGAGAGAGAGAGAGAGAAATCACTCAGACAAGTCAACAAGAGTAAGCAGCAGCCTGGAGCTGTACAGCTTCCACAGACATGGCAAAGAGAAAGAGACAGACGATCAATCCAGTTACCAGGAGGTTACAAAAACACAAACACCTTTAATGGATCACATTTGTGTTCAACTCAACTTCCCTGGTGATGTTAGTGCCTGTTGAAAGATACAGGGTATGACTGCCATCTCAGCCCCATCTCTAGAACTCCTACAGCAATACTGAAGAGGCACCTGCCTTACTGTCCCTAGGAGGCCTGAGATGAGACTGTCTCAGTCTCCATGTCTACCCATGACCTGCTTTTTGAGACTCACAAGTAGGCTCCTATGCCCTGTAGTCACTCTTTGAAGTGTCAACTGGGTGCAGGCTGCAGCTTGCCCAACAGCCAGAGACAAAAAAGAATGCTGGTCACTCCTGATAGGAACAAGAGTGGTGACCACTCGGTATTCCCTAACCCAGGCTGGAGTCCCTCCCTCAAGTCCCACAAAGCTAAATCAAAGTGATTTTGTTTGGTTCAAGGAGACCCTACGCATACTTCTACACTCCTCCCATATCTCTATGGGACTGTCACTGCCCGGGCGTGCAGAGTTGCTGCTATTTAGGCAATCATGGCTCCACTCTGCCTTCAGCAGAACAGGGCCAGAATTTCTCAGTGGTAGAGGCAGGAGGAAGAACTCAGAGGAACTGGGGAAGCAGAACAAAAAAGGCCCATATGGCAGAATCAGTCTTCCAGCTTGCTCCATATAAAACCCGTTCAGGGCTCCTCAAACTGAAAAATCATAAAATAACGCAGGACACATCAGGCCTGTGTTGGAATAAAGCAAAATGCAAGACAGAATCATTCTGATAGGAAACACCACCCAAGCATCCCCTTAGCTGCCTGATTGCCTTGAAGTAATATTGTGCTTCTCCATGGCCTTAAGAATGCTGCACAGATCATCCTGATCTGCTCATGCTTCCATGAGCTCACATGGAGCTCCTTGTTTCCTTTGGCTGCCCCTGATCTTCTGGTCCCAGCCACCTCCTCTTTCCCCTTCCTCCTCTGTACTGAAGGACTGGTTACAGCACAAGAAGCATTAAGAGTCAGGTCTGTGATGGACCTCAGGCAGACAGGGTAAAGGATTTTCAAAACTGCTTGGGCACCTGTCAGCTCCTAGTGGGAACAATAGAGGTTTCCTCTCTCCCCGGATAAGATCCATGAGAGCTGCTGGTGACTAAGCTCTTCCTGTCTGGACAGTGTTCCTGCTTTCAGCTGCAAATAATTGGGCTTGAAACTGGTACAAGGCTATTTCCCAACCTGCAATGTGGGCCAGGGTCACCTGGGAGAGTTTCATTTAGGCTGTAACTATATGATCTTGGTTTGTACACCTCCAAGTCTACTGAGATCCCATCTCTTGAGTTAATTCTTTGAGCACTACTGTAATAACAGGATATAACAACACAACAACATATTGCCTGTCCTGGGACTAGAGCAGCTGCAGTCTTAGGTAGGAAAGTTTGTATTTGTGGGATACTTTATTGTGTGGCAGGCTGCTAAGTTGCTTTTTTTTAGTGGTGGCTCCATGGAAACTTGAAAGGTTAAACTGAGCCCCAGCACAGAGGGACAGGTGGGTTTAGAGCAGGCAACCTGATCAGAGTTTCATAATCAACACAAGTTATTGCCTGCCTATGATTTATCATTTCATCACAGATTTATCGTTTATCAAGAATTTATCATTTCAGCGCAGATGCACTCATTTGAAATGTTTGGCTGCTTGTTTAATATACATCTAGAAAGATCATCTTCCCACACCTGGCATGTTGCTCCTTACCTAATCATGCAGTTCTAAGGTCGGTGATCATTTGGGAATCATTTAAACAGACCAATAGCACATTTGTCTCTAGAAGTAATTTCAGTGTTTAATGAAACCTGATTTGCCATCAGGAGGTCTCTGAAACAAATTATTTTGAGGTTAAGTTCATTATAAATCCAGAAGGGCTACCCTGAGGACAATAAGCTGCGCTAAAGCGAGGGTAAATCTCTAGTGCAATTTGGACAGGAATGTAGTGGGAGTGTTTGGCACCAAGCAGAGCTGAACCAAGGACACGCACATACCAGTATCAGAGGGTTGGCTCCTTTCCTGATGTCCACCCCAGCCTCACAATTAGAGTGGATATTATTGTCTGCAATCAGACCTCCCGCTGACAGGCGGAGAAATATCCCCGAGGCTTTACAGTGGTGGATGTCATTCTTCAGCATGATGACCTGCAGGGGAGAGGAAAGGCATTTTTTCTTGTAATTATGGGGTTTGAAAGAAAAAAAATCTGATTAGAAATCTAGTTTTGTTCACTCTGCTGCCTGGCATACCCTACCTTGGAACCCCCCACCCCTCCCCCCATGCGGAATGCCCATTGTTGGGGATCATCATCGGCTTCATCTATTACATCATTGTGCCTGGAAATTCATGAGCTGCTTTCAAGGCAGGGTCAGACTATGGTCTCTTTGTTCAAAGAGGTGAGCGGTAAGTTCCTATGTCATTTATCTGTAACTGTAACCTATGATGAGTCCTCATGCTGGACTGGAGTCCTTGGTGTTTGCAAATACAGAACAAGAGAACAATGCCTTTCCCCAGTGACTTGCCATCTTAGTATAACAACAACTGATGGACACAGATAAGCTGTGGGAAAGGAGACACCAGTGAACAATGAGGCGATACAGGTCAGCATAATTGGCCATGGTCTTGGTGCATCAGGGACTGGCCTGTAGTCTTTTTCCAGGCATCACACTATGCCCAGGGTTTTACAGAGGGTTCTCAAAAAGATTTCTTTTTCTGGTGTTTATTGAGGACTATGAAAAGCAGCACAGGAGAAAGCATGAAGGTGCTTGGTTGATAGTATAACAGGTGGGCAAGGGATACTAGCATCACAGACTAAGAGGCAAAAAGTAACTTTTCAATGCCAAATGGAAAAGAATAGGTCAGGCTTGGATAGATCCCAGAGAACAAAGACAAGGAACTTCTGTGTGATAAGCCAGAGAAAGGAGGGATAAACAGGGCAATATGGTCAGAGGGATGAGCTTAGACAGTAATCTTTGTAGCTGCCTACTGGATAAATAGTGGGACAGGGCCTGGCTCCTCCCCCCACCCCCCCGCATACTGCCCCCTAGCCCTATTGGTGCCCCTCAAACCCCGCCCCCCTCGCTGGAGGGGGCCCCCAGCTGCCAGGGCTATGGGGTCAGACCTGTGTCCCCCAGGCCAGATCTGTGTGCAGGGTGGGGGCGGGTGCAGGCTGCCTGCTGTGGGCTCAAGCTCCCACCCTGCTGCTCTCCCCCAGAGCCTCCAGTGGGTGCGACCCAGCACTGCATGGCTCAGTGGGGCCATGCGGGGGCCATGCGGGGAAGCTGCTTGCTGCTGCGAGCTTCATGTTGCCCTGGCGAGGTACAACCCTGTGCTGCCACACCTGCTGCTGCCGTATGCACAGGGGATGCCTCGCCACAGCAGTGTGGTGCTCGCAGCCGCAATTAGATTCTCTGCACAGCCCCGCTGTGCCCTGCAGTGCCGAATCACACCCACTGGGCTGAGGAGGAACCGAGGGAGGGCAGCAAGGCAGGAACCCAAGCCCACAGCAGGCAGCTCACCCTCACCCAGCCTTGCACACAAATCTGGGAGGTGAGGTATAGGTCCCCCCTGTCCCAGGGAGTGCGCAGCAAGGAGCCAGCCCCTCCACCCCACCACCCCGGACAAACCACCCATGTCCCTGTCCCACTCCCCACTGAGGCCCTACGGCCATGCATTGTGGCCCCAGGCCCCAAGCCACATGCACCACCCAACGAGGCAACAGCCCCAGCCCTACCCAACTCTCTCCCTCCCTCCCTATGGGGGTCTCAATCCCACACCGCCTCCTTACCTGCAGGAGCTGCTCTCCAAGCTGCCTGGGGCCATGTGCGTCCCCTGCCTGACTGCCCTCTTCCCACTGCCTCCCAGCCGCCTGCAGGCTGGACCTCTGCCCGCCTGCAGAGAGCTCTTTGCAAGACTGCAAAACCCACAGGTTTCTTTGGTAAAATGAGAAATCTGTGTTTTCCTCCTATAAAGGGGAAAATCCATGGTTTCCTCTGTTTTCCCGTGGGAAACAGAAAACCCAGATCTCTGATCATGAGGAAGATGACAAAAGCCAGGAAAAGAATCCCAGCTGTAGGCCAGAGCAGAGAGACCCTGTCTGAGAGGTGTCCCAAACCTGCAAAATATAGATATTGACTAGATATGAGGCTCTGGAGAAAGGTCCATACCCAAGTTACAGGACTGAGTAACAGGCACGGTGACAATGATGATCGAGCCAGAAAGTTACAGCACCAGTCTCCCCACTGAAGTCAATAGGAATAGTGGCTCATCAGTAGCAGCTAGCAGGGGTGGGCAATTATTTTGGGCGGAGGGCCACTTACTGAGTTTTGGCAAGCCATCAAGGGCTGCGTGATAGGCAGCCAGGGGCAGATAAATATTAATTTTTCTAAATTTTTTAGGGGCCCCACAGGTTTTAGGGGCCCCTGGGCTGCATTTTGCCCACCCCTGAGCTAGGGGCTTCCAAATGAGTCCCTCTTGACAGCCTAGTGGCAGCTGCTGCAGCAGTGCTGTACATACATATAAGGCCCACCCAAATAGAGGAGGAGCAGGACCTAAACATAGATTGAGGACACAGAAGAATTCTAGACTGGCTGCACAGCCTCTGTAGGGTTTATATCCCATCCTTCCAGTGGTACAACACTGCTGCCCTCTTACACCATCCCTTGCTTAACCAGCTGAGAATTTGTTTTTCCAAAGCCTGTTGATGAGCAATGATGAGCCTTTTGGGTCATAGGCAGCTTCACTACATTCTTGGGCAGCATCTCACCCAACATCCTTTCATTCAATCAATGACTTGGGTTAGTCTGTGCTAGGCTGCTTCTAATGCCAGAAGGTCTGTTTATAGGGAAGCCATGAGAGCATGTATACACACCAGCAAGGGCCACAGAAGTTAGCAGAAACAAAAGCGTCTGCACACACCTTCTGCTGGCTGTCAAGTGGTGGCAGAAGCTAGCAGTCAGAAAGATGCTGTTGGTCTGTCAGCAGATCAAAGGGCTTCTGCTGCCACAAGGGAACTGGGAGGAGGCACTCACAAATTTTGAAGGCTGGAATCAGAGTTCTGCCAGCAAAACTGCATAATACAGATCAGGCCTAGGAGAGCAGGTATGGAAAGAGTTGGCTGAAGAAATTTTCAAAGGTCCTACAAACGTTACCCTTAGCATCTTACTGGCATTAGTAACTAGAAAGCCATCTCTCCATTCCAAGAGCATAGGTGGTCTTTCAAAGATTTCTTTAAAAGGGCTGTGCCAACTTGAAATGTACCAGAAGCTGAATATCCATAATTTTCTTATAAACATGCTAAAGACTGATATCTTCAATGTTGATATTTTAAAAGAGAACAAAAAGGAAGGACCAATAATAGGGAAGTTATTGTCTAAATTGAATAACCAAGCAAGATACTTCTTGAAAAACTTTAACTGGCATTGAACCTGCAGCTGCGATTTGTAAAGGGGACCAAGTCCTTCCTACCCATTGGCAGTACGCAAACCCAGGTGTTCAAAAATCATGAGACTGGTTTGAATAGGATATATCTAAGTCTTTTTTCTCAGCCTTCTAAGCCTTTAGGCAGTCAAATTTTTAAGCTTCCTTCTGTCACCATGATGGCTAAAAATATATTTTAAAAAGAAAAAGAAAATGGAGTCTTATAATCACATGATTCCAGGAGCTGGAGCTGTATGAGAAAAAAACAAAACAAAAAAACAATCATCAAATACCATGAAATTTTAAAACCTGGCAACAACACCTTGGCCTTCAGTAGGATATTAGCACCTTGAGTAATGTCAAATATCTGTTCTCAGTGGAGAGAGCAGGCTCCTAACCCAAAGCTAGTAGCCCTGGGAAATGTTATATTTTCCCAAATCTAAGACAACTTTGAATTTAAGGCTAGCCCCCGCTAATGAGATTCTATACATGGAAAAATTATGTTGTGCTAATTTGCCATGTATAGAGCTAATTATTGTTGGATTGTTTCATTTCACCTGCCCCACTGCTGCAGCAGGGAAAGCAAAGGCAGAGAGGCAAACAGCAACAAGTGGACAGGTGACAGGGGGGCAGACAGTGTGAGCCCCATCCCTTGCTCCCCTACCTCTTGCCCACTATACTCCTTATACCCTCAACCACGTGTCTCCCCTGTCATCTGTACTCCCTCACAGTGCTTGTGTACCTTGCCACATTCCCCCCCCCCCCCCCTCCCCCCCCTCCCCTCCCCCCCCCCCCCCCCCCCCCCTGCCTGTGCCCTCTGGTACATCCCCCTGCTGCCTGCTCCCACAGGTGCCTGCACCGTCCCGCTTGGTCCCCCCCCCCCGCACCTGCCGATCAGCTTTAGCTCTGGCCCTGCAGTAGTTGAGGTGGTGACAGCTCTGGCCCATAGCTCTAGCTCCAGCTCCAGCCCATGACCAGATCAGAGTCAAAGCCATAGCTGCCACCACCATTGCCAATATAGTGCCCCTCTAAAAACGCATAAAGGAGGCCCTGGAGAACTAGAGTGTTTAGCCTCACCTCAATACCTGGGAATTTACTGGAACATATCATAAGGAAGTCCATTTGCAAGCATCTGGAGGAGGAACGGCTGATCAAAAGCAGCCAGGATGGATTTATGAAAAACAAATCATGTCAATCTAACTTGAACTCCTTCTTTGACAAACGAGCTACTTAGGTGGATGAAGGAAACACTGTATCTGGATTTCAGCAAGCCTTCTGACAAGGTTCCACAGGACCTTCTCAAGTCATAAACAAACTGGAGAAATGCAGGCTGGACAAAACTACTTAACGGTGGATAGACAACTGGCTCAATAGCCACAAGCAAAGGTCAATTATTAATGGCTCCACATCAGAAAGGCATGAGGCCTTGAGTGAAGTCCCACAAGGGTCTGTTCTGGGTCAGTGCTGTTCAACACGTTTATTAATGATGTGGATGTTGGAATTGAGAGCTTCTTGGGCAAGTTTACATTGAACACCTTCAAGAGCAAACTGGATGCTTATCTTGCTGGGATCCTATGAACCCAGCTGACTTCCTGCCCTTTGGGCAGGGGGCTGGACTCGATGATCTTCCGAGGTCCCTTCCAGCCCTAATGTCTATGAAATCTATGAAAAGTCTGCAGATGACACGAAACTGAGAAGGACTGCAAAGATACTGGAGGACAGGAGTGCA